TAGTCATCTTTAATGGCTGATTCGTTCTGATATTTCTTGCGGATGGTGTCTACTGAATGTAAGGCCTCAAAAACACTAGGCTTACCCTAAATGCACAATACCGCACTAGCGGAAAATAAGACTGGAAACGGTGGTCAAATAAAACCGTAGTGAAGATCCAGTGCGTCGTGTGCTGTTTGTTGCGAGATAATGCGTTCCTACTAGATTCCTTAGATTTCTGGATTTTCCGACGGCTTTTTGCAGCCTGTTGCTTTGATTACTCGCTGCATGCATGAATATCGCATAATTATCCCCCGAGCTCCCACTCAACACAACCTTCAGCGCAGTGAACGATGAAAACGGTACAACCGGCAGTTTCTCAATGCATAAATATTAAGTCATATCTAAACGCGAAGCGCTGCAGCGTAAATCCAAATGCGCGCCAAAAATTACGAAGCGGGATTAATCAAAACAAGTTCCAGCTAAAGTAAGGCAGGTTATAATTTGGCCTGGGGATATAAACTGCAATATGCCACCTTCTAACTCGAAAATTCTTGTTCCAGAGACAAAGTTCTACACCATCTTCCTCTGAATTTAGATTATTCTTTTTGAGATCGGGTGGTGGCACCTCAACACGGTGGACAACAATATTCGAACAATGGAATAGAAATGTTGCAGGTTACAACGTGTCCCTTTTGGTTTAACAAGGACAGGCAACTATGTTCAGAGTGTCAGTCCACTCTTGAATGCCCCATCTAGGCATACAGGAGTATTAGCGATGCTACAGAAGTATTACACCAGACTTCTGCCAGAGGCATGATTGTTTTGGTGGACAAATTTGTTGAGGTGAAAAACTGTGTAGATGAGAATGGTCTTTGGTTTGAGCACATACGCAGCAAAATGCGATATTTTGGCATAGAATGTTTTATTCCACTTGCAAGTGTTTTGTAGCTAAGAGCATTGTGAGGCTAATTGGCCCCCACTACAGTTATCACAAATTATAACCAATCCTACTAGCCTGCTATTTTAGGCCATAGTATAACCACTGGCCCAGTGCATTATAGAAAACCCTTCAGAAACTTTTTCATTTCGAGTCTCATTTTGTCTTATTACCTTGTGTGTATGACAACGAAACGACCTGTAAACTTAGTCGATGCAGAATACCCTTGGTCCGTACTGGTTTTAATTTTCAACGATTCCTGCTCCAATACTAGCCACCACGACAAACCCAACTGATCACCCAGGATGATCTCTCACGGAACTTTCCATAAACCAACACACAACTGGTAGTCCTCAGCAGTGTGCTGGTCACAGAATCCAAGAGTCCGGAAAACCGCTAACTCTTAGCTATCCACTTAAAAACCCACCCCTTTGGTCTCGAGCGCCTGATCAGCAGGACGATTAGCCGCACGTAGTAGCGCAATTTTACCACTATTTTATTTACGGGATTTAAGCACGTGGTCATAGCGTCAATTGCCCACCTGAATGGCGTTTTCTAATATGGAATTTTTACTCTTTTTCTTATGGGCTACTTATAGATTTTCGATAACGTGAGAAGACTCCAGAACCTAATGGAGTAATAAACCTCACTCGGAGAACGATATTTTCACTTTGGATTCTCCATTCAAGGATGCGATCGACAAGTGCGACTGTTTGACGAGGATCCTGGGCGAAGGCGCTACATTCCTTGTGAGTGAAAGTTAGTCACACTCTTGATCGGTCCGTCGGAGCTACTAATCGGGATTCCGATGGTTTGAAACCTTCTGGAGTTTGGTGACCAAGACAGTGCCAAAGATTTCCAATACGATTGAACAGCCGTACTTGATTTTCCATCATATGCTGGCTTCATTCACAGAGTGAAACCTCCATTAGGACCCCAAATTTAACTGTTTCAAGTCCTTGAGCTCACCTGTTCAATAAGTGGACGGTGTAAAGATAGGGAGTACACTCGGTCCAGTTATATCATTTTTCGATGGGAATGGAAGGGTTACTCACGGAGTGTTTCAAAATTGACTTAGTATGGTAGGCGGTACTCCAGTGGTAACCGGAGAAGCGAAAAAATAAGCAAACACATTCAGAGTGTGACTAAAGCTCACTCAAAGCCTGCGGTGATATGTGAGAAAATCGACGTCCCGATTACACTGGGCTTGAAGAGCAACTAAACGAAGAGCCTAAAGAAAACCTGTGTACGTAGGTCAAAATACGCAATCTCCGGCTGTAGGCTGTTGAAACACAGAAGGAACGTGATTATGGTGTTCTTCAAAACAGCACACCGGCTTGCGCCGCCGATGAATCGGAAACGCCCGAGAAGGCCTTGCAGTGAAACGGTTATCCTTCGGGTTTGATTAGGCACAGCAGACAGAACTGACCCTAACGAGTGACAGTACATCGAACCCAAACCGCATAAAACTCCCTGTCGAAGGCGACTGTACGATAACAGGTGGCATCGTAACATTGATATGGCGTTTCAGAACAATGCTATCAACTTGATTGCTATCAATCGATGTCAGCCTAGTGGAGCAAAAACACTGTGTATGCAAATTATAGGTAGCTGCAAAGCAAGACCCACAGGCGTCCAATCACTAGGATGAGAGATCAAGTGTCTATTTTTTCTCAAAAGCCTGACCAACTTGAAAGCGCAAAATACTAGTCACGCATGTGATCACCACAGCCTATCACCTAAATCTCAAATCAGCATTCACTACCCCCTTCATCACGAAAAATCCCATGATCTGAGGTTTGTCGAGGCTGTTAAGATAATCAACCAAAGCTCTCCCTATTTGTCCAGATGTGGCCATCTGACCGCTCCGGACTTGATGCAAAGATCGAATGGGTCGGTCTGTCCGTAATCATGTGATAAGCTTCTTTCGGAAGCCGCCTGTTCCACTTAATGGTATTCGTACAGTCAAGACAATAAGAAACGCCTGGCTCTACCAACATCCACGTTCCTACCGTGATATTCCAGATTTACCATGTTTCGGCTGAGTGTTGGACGACAAGGTGATCTGACAGTCCATCATCGCATAGGTTGCCAACTGACCTCTGATCATACGCATGGACAAAACGAATTCATACAACTGTTGCGAATCCTCGTTTAATTAACTTTTGTTTAAAATCTTCAAACGCCCCAAAACTACATCTCTGTTATCCATCAGATAAAACTAATTTGCTCATCACTGTCAGCCAACACCTCATCTCTCACAGAACACTCAATTATATATAGTGTTCTTCGGTCTCTTATGGAATGTCTCGTCTTCACTTTGAACGAATATAAAACGAAGTTGCTGTCTCAAAGCTCTTCGAAGGGAATTGGTAATGGCGCGTTGTTGCTCCCACTAAGGAGATTCCAGAATAAAATATCTCAGCTAGAACGAGGTAATTGCCCCGTACCATCTCGTTAGATCCTGATAGTGTGTATCAGAAAGGGCGCAACTAGATGGCTCGGCAGGTTTTCTTCCCGCAGGCGACACAAATGTCGAATAAGACAGCTGTTCGGTGTGTGGTGATGAAATCTCACTGATTCGATTAGTATACAGCATTTCAATTAAGAAGAGGGATTCGAAACTAGGCAAAGCATTCTCATTGAGAACGTTTTTAGAAGTAACTTCCACGTCCCTGTAGGCTTTGGAACCATGCAGTATTTCGACAAACGCTGCAAGTGATTCTAAGGAAAGAACAAGTTTTCCCACTAAGTATGAAAGGTGTGTGGTGCCCTCATCCACAAAGTTACACATCTGTCCGCTTCCAGTCTTAACATTTTAGAGTTGTCGACCGATCCGTATATCAGCGCCGATGAAGTCAACTGTTATGCTGCCGTTATGTCGTCGAACACCTGTAAGAATGCAATCCCATGACGTCACGCATATGTAGCGGTTAGCTGCCAGTTTCGTCACCTGATGACCCAGGGAGGCTGAACTGAATAGGTGCGCACTACGGGCAAGCTAATATAATTGACTTTACATTAGAGGAACCGGGATGACGACTACCCGATGAAAGCAACAGATTGGATTCGTAGGCGGCACTTACCGCGCGACTCGGACACGTCTCTGAGCGCCCCTGACTACCGATTTAACCAGATAATGGTCCCAATTCAAGAAGGCGGCACCGACGAGACAACTGAGTTTGCTGGTAATAGCCTTCATGTCCCATATCTCCTCTCCTCGTGGTTGTGCAGAGTTCTCTCTGAGGAAGCACGCGATCTCATCGGCGAAACCTACCAAGTGTGATCATTCCGCCCTTCATAGGCACCAACTATCACTTAGGTTGAGGTCAGTTGGATGTGCCGAGGCGGAGTTAAAGAGGCTAGATATATCATGGTTCATTTCGCCTAAGCCGGTCCACCCGTGATTGGATGGCTTCCTAAATCACCGGGCGTCAGCCTCAACAATCAAGTCAATTACTGTGGAAAAGACTGTAAACGTTGATGTCACTGGCTACTTAGGAGGGGATTGCATGGAACACGGGGGAAACTTGCGGTCTATCGGTAAATCTGATAAGGCTCCATAACAATTTTACCATTTAGTTATCGAAGGGGAGTGAGTAAGATTATCAAACAAGGTGAAGTCCGAATGCCATCGCGACACATCGACTACTCAGGGTACAAGTTGAGAAACTCTAACCGAATGGATTGCTAACCCCAGCAACAAATGACGATATACTGTCCCCTCTGTAAGGAAAAGTTATGTAAACTCACATACGTACTGCTCCGCCTCAGTACACAACAAACCACCCATGATATTCCCTTGATTGTCAACGAACCGGTGATAACAAAACTGCCAAACTGACGATTGCACGACTTGCCGAAAAACCGAGAAGTCGGTGTTCTCAACTACTGCAAGCATAGGTTATGGAAACACGTTTCACCTAGTTGTTGTGACCAGAAAGTCACGGGAATTCACGGGAGTAAATACAGTGAGTAATCTAGGTCAATTGGATCCGACTACGTTGATGATCAACCGGGTCCGATTAACTGTCAGCATCAACGCACGCCAGGCGAAAAGAAGAAGACCGTCTAATCAAGTCAGAAGAGCAATGCTGTATGGGAAAAAAGTCAAGTTACATAACAGAACTGGACGTTTTGCAAAGGATTCTGTAAACAGTTAATTATCCTGGTTAACGAATTTGAATACGTCATGATATGTCTCTTCGATGTCGCACAGAAGTTGCCGCACATCAGACGCTGTAAGATTGGCATCAGCTGGCATGCCGCTGAGCTTCTTCAGCCTGAAACAAAGTGATAAAATAAGGCCTGTTGCCTACTACATTTGAAAGAAGAAATAAGGACCAGATGCAAGAAACGAATGATAGTCAAACAGCATAAGAAAGGTTATGCGTAAAAAAAACTAGCTTCAGAATACCACGACAGAATTTAAGTCGTAAATGTATGCGACTTTGTGCATAGCAAGTAACAGTCCGTGAGCAACACGGCAGTGAAGATAGTCAACGAAGGAACAGCTTTCTTCGCATAACCAGTACTCACCGCAGAAACACAATTTTCATCTCGCAGAGACAAGTATCGCGCCGTAAACAGTAATATATATAAGACAACAGCCCAAATGGATCTAGTTGGGCAGTCTCATTTTGGACAGGAGGGAAGGGGGAGGACACCCCCTATCAATAATAGGAGCAAATAGTGTAAGCACACATTAAATGTTGGGAATGACACAAGAATGCACAGGAGCTGGCGCTGTGACCTTTTCTCACAGCACTCACAATACAATGTACGCCCAGCATGAAAGCTGCCTTGATTCCCATGGAGATCGCCGCCACGACGAACCTCACTATGAAGCCACCGCGTTGGGAATCCAATTGAAGTTGCATCAGATACTCTTGTTTGAGTCCGAAAGTGAGCCCGGTTGCATTGAACGTATTCCGAACCAGCTGTGAACATTCCACCTGAATCTACTATCAAGGCTACCTAAAGCCGTGTTAAGTCCACGTACGTTAAGTGTTTGGTGTTTCATCATTAAGTGACATTCTGGCTCAAATTTCCGTGTTGTAGCTGAATGCTGAAGGCATGTTTCTCTAATTTTGGTTACTCACTTATGGAGGGGCCATTGTCAAGGTAGGCCAACTGCAGTGATTGATTTATTTGGTATGTGAAGCGTATATCAACAGCAAACTCACTCTTAGAAGCGATCGCCTGTGGTCTCACGAGAAAGGACCAATGTACAGCTGCCTCATTCTAAAGGGACCAATTTCGACCACAAAATACCTTTGGTTGAAAAATAAATCGTCCAGCTGTAGTACCTAACTGCCATGCCACCTGAAGGTTACACAAGGGCTGGGATATTGCCAGGTTGCCCAAACCCAGACAGAGGAAGTCGAGAGATAGAGATCGGCTTCGGACCACGGAACTTCCGGTCAGTAAATTTGCGCCCTAACCACTTGGGCCACCTCGCCTCCTTCCTTTGGTTGATCTTTCGGGTGTAGTACACCTTCACCCCTTTGAAAACTACCCGCAGCAAGTAACGAGAGACGAACTCCTTTAATATTTCGTCTCTTCGAGAAGGGACAACCATTCGAAAAACTCAGAAAGGACGATTCAAAAATGGTCTCATCTGAAAGATGGTATTTGCAGAGGACAGCTGAAATAATTTTGTGTTATACTGATGACGACAATGGTATGAGACCCCCAAATACTTAGAAGGAACAATGCTGCCTTCATGCTGTTGTCCAAACAAGTAGTTGGTACAAGACTGCACAAAAGATCGGTGGACGAAATTCTCAATGCGGTTTTTATTGAGATAGCACTGGGTTGCTTTCAGTGGAAGGTGGAGAAGTGGTCTTTCAAGGTATATCCATTGTCGGAGCTGGAATGACGCGACTCTAATTACGAGGGGAAGGATTTCCTTCCGTGGAAGACTACTGCATGCTTAAAAATTACGAGTGTTCGTAATTGTCCGGCAGATGGTTTTGTTTATCAGGATGGCAGCCCAAATTGTACCAGCCAGAAGAAAGCTTCGATTGCACTATCGCGCAAGACCGTGTTCACACGCATCCTCACATATGTGCAAACTAGGTGTTTATTGCTGGTGGACTTGTGCAGTTATCGAAACCCACTCATTCGTTATCAGACGTATTGGTGTATACAGCCATGTACCAGCTTGTTCGACCTGGGTAGGCTTTGCTAAGACCCCTAGGAATGCAGTGTCCCGGTGTGTTGGGAACTAGTGAAAAACAGCTGACCAAAATCGCTATACATTGTCCGATACTGAAGAAAATTCACCAGATCATCATCAGCTGCAACACCCTTCCGGTGCCTAGCTGCCTGCCA